TTTCCAGGATTACTCACACTTGGTAACTACAAAACAGATTCAGAACCACCAACACCGTTCTGTAGAACTTCAGTTACTGAAAGTACTCCACTTATTTCATCTTTGTTACAGAAGAAAATAATTAAGGTGCATCTTGTATCAGCTCATGTACATCAGCTTTTGTATTATTAAAAGCCAAAGTAAGATATCAAATTATTCAATAACAAAAGATTTTAGATAAGCACCTGAGTAGCTGATCTCAATTACTCATTTTTTCCAAGGCACCAACACAATGCAATCTACAGTCCAGCATTTTTACCCATCATTTTTCAGGGACTCAATCAACTGCAGAAATGCCTTCCAATATATGAGACATGTTATATTTCTTTCCTAAAAAAGAGAATTCCAAGAAACACATTCAGATGGAAGCACACTATGCTGCAACTGACACTAGATTATTTCTATCTTAACCCTTTTGAGTTTTAAATAAAATGTAAGGAACTCAGTCATTAAGATAACCTACAAAAAGTTATTAAATTCTGACTAAGTTTAGCAGTACCATGAGCATTCTGGCTTGTTCTTTTTTGTTGCCCCTCTGCTGTACAGAGAACTCTGTAGAGACTCTCCCAGGGAAATAATCCACTCCACACACTTTATTAACATTAAAATAACAGAAGAAAACTTCAGGTAATTAAGTTTAATGTGCTGCTCAACACACCATGGAATTTCACACAACTTACAGTAATTCTTTACAGTTCACAATAACCTCACAGCAAAATCAAAATGGAGTAAAAACTGCCCCGGTACTGTTATGCAAGAGCTTGATTTTCTTCTTGCTGCTCACCCTGAAAAGCAACACAATAATAACAGTTACAATATGACATTCAAATACCTAAATATGAAATAAGTTTGTATTTTTTCAGTCTGTCTAGGGAAGTGCATTCCCTTAATGCAATCTTCCAACTTGGAAATAACAGGAAATATCACATTAAGGGCATTTGGGCTTTTCTATGTGCAATGTACATTAAGAGACCAATATCTTATGTTTCTATGATATATAAACAGAAGTTTCACTATAGTGAAATACAGAACAACCTTCAGAATTACAATAAATTATTTGTCTGAGACTAACCACTCAATTGTCTGTAAGGAAAAGCTGTCTTACAGTCCCTTTGAAGTCACAGTGGAACAACCACAGACCCTGGTTTGTCAGGGATGAGGGGTGGTTGTTTTTGGTTTGTTGGGGTTTTTTTTCCTTAATTAAAAACAAACTATGAACACTAAATATTAAAAGCAGTACATGCAGAATCTTTTAGGCCAACTAAAAACTGTAACTGGTCAAAACAAGGCACTGAAAATTGATTTGTTTGGAGAGCACAGGGAGCTGTTCTACCAAGCAGATTATATTTATCAGGCTTTCTTTTTTTTTTCCCCTTTTTCTTTTAAATTTAACTTTATTTTCCTGTTTGTTAAGAAGCTCCTCAGCTGTTCACCTTTGGCCAGGTAAGTCTTCAGCATTAACAGCTTGCCAGACCTTCTCTGGACATTGTTTATTTACTTTCCAAGGGAATTGCACTTTACAACTGCGATGTCTGGACAGTAATCACACGGCTTTTCAGAGAACACACTACTCAAGATGAAGAGAAGTTCTGCAATACAGAGTCTTGCAAAGTCCCACAGCTATGAGGAAAGCTGTGCAGCAAACACCATTACAAAAGGTGCTGCCAGTGCCATTTTAGGAGAGACAGGGACAAGCTGAAGCCTCCCACAAAGCTAGGGCTTCCCAACTCAACATTTGTTACTGACTGACACCAACTCATCCTACTCCACACTTGAATCTTGCTTGCTGAGCTGCTGTAACACTTCTGAGTATCTATTTTATATTTGTATTCCGCTTCATTTGTACTGAATTGAGGGAAAAATTTATACAGTTCATAATCAAATCCCAAGAAAGTCAGTTCATAGAATCACAGAATAGCCTGGGTTGGAAGGGACCTTAAAGATCATCTTGTTCCAACCCCCTGGCATGGGCAGTTCTATCATGAGAATATGTCTTATTAACACAGATAAAGGAATTTTTGAATCCTTATGGCTCAACTACTACAACAGGAAAAAATCTCAGATTCCCCAAAGCATCCTCAAAAACCCCTGTTCAACCACTTTGACTCGTCACTTTTCAGTGTTACAGCAAATAACATATATTTTTAAAATATTGTTTATTATCCACTTTGACAGCTTTGTAATTGTTATATGTACACTGGAAAAAGAATTTTAAATTAGCTTGGTTAAATTCCAAATGTTAAAGTTAAAAGCTAATAACAGAAGAAGCATTGGAGAAAGACTGAAACCTTAATGGATGTGGGTTGGTAGCTCTTCCACTTGGCTTTGCCCTGCTAATGCCCCTTTAAATCAGAATTTCTGTACATTCTTTCCTTCCTGTTGTATCAATCTGCTGACTCCTCACAATAGCCACAATTCAAAAAGCCATTCCATTTCACCTGGCAAAAATCTCAAAGTCACTTGGCTCCCTCACTGTTTCTCCATCAACTTAATTCTCTACAAGTGCTGAAAGCCAATGTCATCAGGCTCCAAAACCAAACCAGAAACCAAACATTAAGCCACCAATGAAGCTGAATTTAACTGTTCTTCCTCCACTGTCTTTGATGTGTGCATTTCCTTAATAGGTAGCGTTTAGCCAACCTAAAACTAGACTCGAGAGTAAAAAGCCTAGAATACACCAGCTGCTTTATGATTATTAACTCTGAATGTGTTAATAAAGCACCTACAATAAGACTTTGTTCTTTTCCTGACCCTTACAAGCACAAAATGAAAAGACATATTTGGTAAAGCCTAAAACAACAACAGGAAAACATGACAGCCAAATTCCTGGAAAGCAGGAAATACCTGTCTGCATCACCTCCCCTCAATAGGAAGTGCAATACCACACCTTTGCAAACAAGAAAGAAGTATACATTAACATAAGCACTGCTCCTTTCTGAAAAAAACTCCCTGTTTCCTATTTGCCCAGATTTCTAAAACCTCTGAGCTAGCAACTGAGTTTGGTCTTACTTTTAACACGCAAGTCCAACTACCAACAGGACTTTGGCTAACTGACCTGACCCCTGTATGGACATCCCACAGCCAGTAAGAACCTCAGTGACATCAGCATTCTACCTCACTGCTCTCCTGTGAACCAATGACAAACCCAACCATCACCACTGATGTGTTCAGACACAGAAACACAAACCATTTTCATTACAGTGAGGTTATACAACTTCTGCTGGTAGGTAAATATTCCCTGCAATAACACAGCAAGCCCTAGGATGCCTGTCTCATTAAACACCTCTTATTTTTGACTCTCTTTATCTTAGGCAGCTGTTGCTCCTTAGCCCTGTACAATTTGCACTGGGTACGTGCCTGATCATTTGTCCAGCATTTTACGTACTTGGTGGGATTTAGAACCTTCACATTGATATTATGAGACTGTTCCAAAGCCTCACTGCCTCACCTTTTAGGGTGACAAAGTTGTTTTCAAACCAATTTTTCACAATATTTCTTGCATCTCAGAAGGCTGAAGCAATCAATCGAATTCAAATCCTCTGTCTCACCTGTATCAAATCAGTCCCAGGAATTCAGTTACTGCTGCACTCCAAACCAAAATTATAGTGCCAGAGAAAAATGCTATTTTGAAGAATGCACTTGAATTTTTCAGCTTCATCAGCACTGGTGTTTATTTGCTCCTGATCCAGCTTCCAAGAATTCTTCTCTGCCATAGAATTGCTTTCTGAACCCCAACTCGTTCACCTATTAAAATCAAAAGTAAGAACAATTAGGAAAGTCTCAAGGAAAACCACAGTGGATGATGAGACAAACATGGCACTTGACATACTTCACCATATTGGCGAGGGGTTTGGACACATCATGCAATGCCAATGCAATCTCCTATGGTCTCTGTGTCTCCCTGTACACATTAAAAGATACAGTTCTTTAAAGGTCAGAAAACTAAGACATGAATTAATTATTAGGTAAGACTGTTGTGAATAATCAAAACCTAAAGAAAAAGTAATGGACAAGCATACCTATTGGAGGCTCCTCTGATCTCAACTGGGAATGCCCCAGTTACTGAAGACACTGCAGTAACAGACACCAGCAGTCCATGGGGTGGCCTCGCTGAGCACAGCACTATTTTTAGATAGTTTAACACATCACTTAGTGTGCAACATCACTTGGTCAACAATGAAACTTCTTTCTTTTGAGAAAGGTTAAAGCACATGCAGCTGCCTGGACACTGCACTGCTGTAAAAGCCTAACTGCTGATGGGGGCACATGTAAAGTACTGGCTGTTTCCTTGATCACTCATGAGCCCTGTACACAATTAAGGAAGGCAGTCACTGGGTTTGTTGCTTGTACTCTTAGGTATTTTACAACTTTTCTGATACCTCTTTCAGATTCTTGCCTCAGAAGGACTGGACCATTGATTATGTACCAAGATACTTTTAGATAATGAAGCAGAGCATGAATGATACGAGTTTCTAATAAACAAAATTAAATATGATAATAAAATCCATAAATTCCAAGTGAGAAACATGCAAAAAACCTCAGTATCACTAATGTGTCCTCTGTCCTTGTCAAAGTGTAGTCCCCTGGTATCTCTCACTTCTCTTTCACAGTTACAGTTCTCACATCTCCAAATCCACAACAAGCAGATTCTTTAGGCAGCTGGTCATCATTGTCATACCTGCAAAAACAATCTGTTAAACACTTCTTCTTGCAAAAAAGTTGTGCCTGTTCACTCTTCAGTAGCGTCATGCGCTCAACTATACAAACAAGAAAACAAAGACAGAAAATCTTCTATGAAAGATACTCAAAATCTCCAATTTAAGTAGAATTAGCTGTATATTTTCCTTTTTATATACAACTTTTATCTCATTATTTTTAAACATTAGCTATAGTCTTTCAAGTGGTAACAAGAAAAATATTTCATCCACCCTTCCCAAGTAAGGAGAGGACAGTACTAACGTTCCATCTGCTGCTATTAAAGGAGTGCTGGCTGACAATGCTCTTTCTTCATTCCCAGTTATCCTTCACACACCCTCAGAGAGGGGACAGTGTGGCGCTTTAGACAACGGGTCATAGCTATCATACCTAGAAAGAAAAGACACAACTGGTATCAATACTCAGAATTATTTACTTAGTATTAGCAAACAGAGTATTGTGACAATCTACTCACATGTCCAGTAAAAAACCTGCGACTTCTGCATCATTTCTGAAATCAAATTTTTCTTTAAGTGTCAACCACCGATCAATGTGATTTCCCACATAAATCCTTGTTTTCCCCCTTCTTCTATCAAGACTTTGCTTTCTCTTTTTCTTCTCCAGAAAAGACAACACTGGGGGCCTTCCACACCTCTTGGCTGGCAGGGACATGGTGAGCCTGGAAATAAAGGAGAGGCTTTATTTAGAGGCAGCTCAGGACAAAAGGTGGTACCTCAGCGTCCCGAGCCAGCACAGCGAGGACTGATGGCCGAACACCTTTGGCCACTCGCAAGTCAAGCACCCGCTGCAGCCCCGCACCGGCGGCTCCCGACCCGCGCCCACCCGCTCGGGTCTTCCCCCCTCGGCGTCTCTCCGCGGCAGCAGCGGCTGAGAGCGGGATGGCTTCCAGTAGGAACACGGTGAAGGACTGCGGGACAGCCCCTCACACCGCTCCTGAGGGGAGGCGACATTCCCCCTCACGCAGCTCCTGAGGGGAGGCGACATTCCCCCTCACGCAGCTTCTGAGGGGAGGCGACATTACCCCTCACGCAGCTCCTGGGGGCACATTCCCCCTCACGCCCCTCCTGAGGGGAAGGCACATTCCCGCCCCACGCCGCTCCTAAGGAGAGGGGACATTCCCACTCACGCCGCTCCAGGGACAGACCCACAGACACAAACATTCCCGCCTCATGCCACCCCTGAGGGGACACCAGCCCCTCACGCCGCTCCTGACAGAGGACAAGCGCACCTCACAGCGTCCCTGCGGGGTACGCCCGCCCCTCCCTTTTCCCCGCCGCCAGTCTCCGCTGCCCCCGGCGGGCTGCTCGGTCTGTCGGTCAGGATCGGTCTGTCCGTCCCTCAGCCGCCGCCGCCACAGACCGAGGTAAACAGGGGACACGTGACCGACGGCGCGCGCTGATGACGCGAGGATCACGTGAGGGCGGGGAGGGGCCCGGGCCGGGTTTTAAGGAGAAAGGCTAAAAATCAAAAGGGTTTTAAATGTTAAACCAAATGATTCGAAACCTGTCCTGAAGGAGCAGCCAGTGGCGCTCAGGTAAAAACTGCTCTCAGCCCTTCGTTGAGACACAGAGGAAGAAGTAACTCAGCATGGCTTAGTTTTTTTTTTTTTTAATATTTGTTTAATAACAAACTTCAATTACATGTGTTATGCACAATTTAAAAATCTACTGTTTTCCCGAGCAGCAATTCGCAGGAAGAATATCCAAAGTACAAGGTTATCCTACCTTCTGAAAGGCCAGATTCAGAGACAAAACTAGAATTTTTCTCTGAAGAGCAAAAAATGTTTGAAATGTGACCTACCTGTTAAAATGCTAAATCCCTGACACCAAGAGAAAGAAAATGCAGTGAGAATTTGCAATCCCTGTTGTCACAGTGTGTTCTAATAGTGACACGTATGAAAACTGCATTCCACCAGGTCCTTCGCAGCTCCACACACTCCTGCTGATGCAGCTTGTGTTTTAAAATAAGTAACTAAAAACTCAGACCAAGTTAGCCAGCAATATTTGGATAATTTTATATAAACAAGAGACGGACAATTATACCTGCCAATTTATTTTTCTATTATTTCTACTTCAGCTTTGGTAGAGTCACAGTAACAACTCAAGTTGGCTCAAGAACTAGTAGGTGACTGAAGTCTTATAAAAATATTTATTTTCATTTTCTGAATCAGCTTAATAACCAAAACAATTTTTTGTTTGTTTGTCCAATACTTACATAACTTGAAAATAAAGAGCTGGAGAAAATGGCCATCACTCCCTGAAGCTTATCTTTGTCTTTTGTCATTTACATCTTCAGCCTGTGAGAGGTTTTCATAGTACATTTTACTATGTGAGTTAACAGAGAAGTGAAATTTAAAAGCATTATTGTAGCTTAATTATAGTTTTGCTCAAAATAGCCCATATTCTCAGTGATACATGTGCATAAAGGTAATCCCTTGTACTTTACCCATTTAATTTGGATATAATTTCTCATAATTTACCATTATTTCTGTAAAATATCTACTTGGTGATACTGTTTCCAAGTGAACAGGACTGGTTTAGAGGCTTTTCATATTTCGTTCTTCTGATTGCCTTCACAAATATAATTATTGTTTGTATAGCTAGATCCACATTTCAAAGAACAGAATTGTGTTAACACCAAAACCTGTTGTGTGCTTAAGGTTCCTGTTTATTTTGGAATCACAAATGTGCTGGGAGGAGCAAGAAGGTACAAACAACATTTAGTTCTACCAAGTAATTTGGAAACAAAAGCAGCCATGCAACAACTTATCTTTTATGCCTGCTAAGCTAAGCAAGCTACTGCTGTTATGCATGCTAATAAAGTTAAAAATAGCATGTAAAAACAGAGGACAGTGTCAGTGTCCTCAAAAATTAATTACTACATAAGAAAAATTTTCAAAGCTGTTAAGTTAATGTATATTTGCCATTTTTGTGAGGGTGGTTTTTTTTCTTTTCATCTCATTAGGATCTGCCAGACAGTGTTTATTTCAGCTGCTGGAGCTGATCCTGTCTGTGTGACAAAAGCAGCACAGGAATGCTTTCAATCCCACCAATATTTGTATTGATGTTGGTTTTACCACCTGGACATCCCTGTCAACAAGGTGAATATTTTTTGCCCCCGAGCGGTTTCACACAGGTCCCGAAATGAGCAGCATTCCTGGGACGTGGAATTGTGTCTTATGAAGCAGCAGCTGCTACTCAGGAATGAAACTCCAAAGCCAATTCCCCAGGCCCCAAAGGTTGGGGTTTGTTCTCTGGAGTAATGCACAAATGTGGAACAGAGGGCACCAGGTGCAGAAGCTGCCTCCTCCCAACCCCAAACTGCAGCCATGCAGGAAGGAATTTCAGAGGTTTTTTTATATATATATATATATATATATATATATATTTACATATGTATTTATAGAGGTTTGTATGGCAGTCTCATAGCTACAGCAGCTTACTCTCTCCCCCTCCATCAGTTAAAAATCCTGGCTGTGCTATCACCTTGCTGCTGATGAATATATTTCACTGTGCTTCAGTAGTTTCCAGAGCAAACATCTTGTTTAGCATGGCAGTAGTGCACCCAGAAACCTCCTGAAGTGTGGTTTTCATTTCAAAATGCTCTGTGTTGCTACAGGAGCTATCAGTTAACCCAGGAGCATGTCTAAGTACCCCGTTTATCTTCTGTTTTATGAGATGGGATTGATAAACTGCTCCCTGGAAATGCCCATGCAAACTTCTTCATACAGTAATTAAAGTATTTGTGTAATGGGATAAAACCCTCACAGAGACCAAGCTGATCCAGCCCAGTATCCTGTTTCCAGAAGGCATGGGAAGCTCAGCCCTTTCACTGGATGTTCTCCCAGATTCCAATTATCCATAATTTAAGGACTTGGAAGATGAGGGTGACTCCAAACCATTTCATTAAGCAGATGTGGGAAGACCTACACCTCAGGAACAGAATCCATTTTAGACCCCTCTTAATATTTTAGACTTCTAAGTGTCCTACTTTAGGGAGTCTTTGCTTTTTGTATTTGTTACATAATGGTTATTTCTAGATAGAAAGGGAGCTACGACACTGGCACAAAGACATTTATTTCCATGTTCCAGTGCAATACTGACACCTCATTAAAAGACACAGCACAGCAATGACATGAATCAGCCCCCCAAAGAGCATCTCTCATCTTGTAACCAGTCTTTCTAACCCAAAACAGAATCAAAGCAACTATTTAATAAATAGACATAAGAATAAAGCTGGAAACTGAAAACCACAGGGTTTATCACCCACGATTCATACCAGCAGGAGACTTTGCTTGTGTTAGATCCTTAGTGCTTTCAGAACCCCTCCAATTGTTAGGAACAGAACATAAAAGATAAATTGACATTCAGTTAAAGAGGAACACATTAATTTCCGAACTGAGCCTCTGGTCATTTCATGATACAGCACAAGAGCTACTTTATTCTAAGAGATTTTAAGGAAAGTGAAGTCAAGACCTACACTGCACCTTGAGCAGTGTAATCCAAGTAATACCAAAGTAGAATTCCTCACATTTATTGTTCACTGCTGAGGTTGGATGATTCATCACATTTAAATTCTTTCACATGAGCTTCCTAACTTCCTTCTTTTATCTGATATCATCATATCTGAAAAGCATTCATTTTTGTCCAAAAAAGAAACTGAATTATGCTGTGTGGTACCTAACATGCAATAAAACATGCAGAAAACATGAAGTAAAAAAAAAAAAAAGGAACAGTCAATCAAACCAAGAAGCTGAAGCATTTTTACTACAGAAAAATGGCATCTCTAACAATATATTTGTTTCATGTTTCCTATTTTTACTTTCTCCCCCTCACCATCTGCCTCTGTTCTGCTTTTTTCTTTCAAAAAGCATCCACCTCATTTCGCTTCACTCACCTCATCACAGGATTCAGGCTGAAATAAAACACAATCCCCAGTGCCAAAGCCAAAAAAGCACTACCTCTTCATAAAAGACCTTCCAAAAATAACTCTCCTTTTTCTTACAGTAGCTGTGGATCTTTAAGAGAAGCAGTCCATCTCGATTCAGTGCTTTGCTGCAAGCCCTCTGGGCAAAAGAACTCGAGCTTTTTGACCCCTGGTAGCTCTGGGTTGTACCTGTGCCTTCAGTCCTGTTTTTTTTGCAAAATCTTCCCCTGTTCTTTTGGTGGCCAGCAGTGAAACCCACAAGAGTGAGATCCTGTAGTGTGGAGAAAGAAGATGAATTACAGAATGTTCAGTTCTTGAGCAAGAACTACTCCTTCCATCATGGAAGCACCTCAGTAAAGCCCAGGGGGATTTGCTCTTCTGTGGAGCAGAGTCCCACTGCTTTGCTTAAGACACCCTGCATGAAAATAAAACCATTTTGGGGAGACAATCCTCAGAAGGAAATGATGAGAAATAGAGACTGTCCATCTTTGACATGTGTTCCATGCAGTGGCCAGGAGAGCCTGGCAGTGCCAGAACCTGCACTGCGCTGTGTGCAGAGGAAGCGAAGGATAATGAGGAAAAAATGGAATATAAAAAGGTACCAACCTGTGGCAGCACCATAATCTGAGTCTGGAGGTGAGTCCCTGCAGGGCCAGAGAGGTAAGAACAAACACTCTCATTTGTGAGTCAATCCTCTGCAGCAGCCTTAGTGAATTTGTTACTGCAGTCAGTGCACGGACTGAGGAAAACTTCTGGGCCCAGCCAGGGTAGAGCCCTGAGCCTCTGGGTGTCTTGTGGGGAACCTGTTCTGTGCAGTGCAGTGAGGAGCTGAGCCAGGTCGGACACCCTCCCAAGGCACCCAGTGCCCATCCCTGTGCCTTCCAGGCCTGCGGGAGCTTGGCACGGGAGCGGCAGTAAGGAGTAAAGGACCCGCTGATATCCTGGCCGTGTCTCTGGGGGTCCTGGGAGCTGGTGAGGTGCCAGAGGGGGCTCCCAGAATCACAGAATCAGTTACACTGGAAAAGCCCCTGAGACAATCGCGTCCAACCTGTGACCAAACACCGCCGTGTCAACCAGACCATGGCACTGACTGCAATGTCCAGCGGTTTCTGGAACACCTCCAGGGATGGTGGCTCCTCCCTGGGCAGCCCATTCTGATGTTTAATCACTCTTTTCATGAAGAAAATCTTCCTGATGTGCATCCTAAACTTCCCGCAGCGCCGCTCCCGGCTCCTCCTGCCACAGCTGACCCTGCCTTGTCAGGGGAGCGTGGTTACCCCTCAGCTTCCCCTTCCAGGCTTGGAATGATGAGAGGGAGAAAAAAATATGGAACGCTTCACGAATTTGCGTGTCATCCTTGCGCAGGGGCCATGCTAATCTTCTCTGTATCGTTCCAATTTTAGTATATGTGCTGCCGAAGCGAGCACGAATTCATCCGTCCACCCATCGGTATTTCTAGTCACAGGATGCGGGTTCCACAAGGTCAGGGTGATCCGGGAGGGACAATCCGGCGGTGCCGGTGGCAGGAGCAGGAGCCGTGCACAGCAGCCCGGCCGTACGGAGGGTCTGGCGGGGAGGAGACGGCGGAAAAGGGGGAACAGACCCCAAATCCGGCCTAACGCGAGTTATGCAAATAGCCCTGCTGTATGCAAATGAGCGCAAAGCACTCTGGGACGGGCGGTACCGGAGCTCCTCACGGGGCCGGTTTGTATCAACAACCCCCGGCGGGTTTCTGAGTCCCGCTCGGCCGTGCGCAGCTGGGAATGTCACACTTTTCTGTGGTGAAACATCCATGGTTTGGGCTTATAGTAGTTAATATTGCTGACCTGTGGCGGTATGCGGGTGGCTGGAGCCATTTGTCGCCTCGCGGAATCTCAGAATCGAGCGGGTTGGAAGGCCCGGCTGGAGATGACAGCCCCGTGCCGAGGCAGGGTCGCCTGAAGCAGGTGACACAGGGACGCACACCGGTGCATTGGAATGGCCGCAGCGAGGGAGACTCCACCGCTGCCTGGACAGCCGTTCCACTCCTCTACCACCCTCAGTGTGAAGAGATTCCTCCTTCTGCTGAGGCGAAACTTCTTGTGTTTTAGTTTATGACCATTACTCCCTACATATTTGGAGTGCATGTCCGGAGCAGGCGGCTGTGGCCGTGTGGCTGTAGAGACGGGCGGGGAGCGAGGCCTGTGAGGCGCTTCTAAGGCGGGGCAGGAAGAATGCTTTGCAAGTGCAGCAGAGTGGCGCAGCGGAAGCGTGCTGGGCCCATAACCCAGAGGTCGATGGATCGAAACCATCCTCTGCTAGCTGATGTTTTTCTTTTCTCGGCTGGTTATTTTTGGGTGTAGGGTACAGTGGTGTGGCTGGTTTTGGGGTGTAGGGGACAGTGGTGTGGCTGTTTTGGGGTGTAGGGGACAGTGGTGTGGCTGTTTTGGGGTGTAGGGGACAGTGGTGTGGCTGTTTTGGGGTGTAGGGGACAGTGGTGTGGCTGGTGCCAGCACGCTTGTTTTTGCTACAATCTTGGCTCCGTGCAGTACAGCTGGTGCGAGGGAAGGACGGACAGAGCGCTGTGCAGTGAGATGCCTACAGCCTTTCTTCTAGTGAGTGTAATAAAAGGAATTGATTCGTGCTAACTACATTGTAACTGTTATTTAAGTTGTTATTAGAAGCAATCAAAAGAATCAGTGTTACAAGGCAGATGCACCCCTTTACAAATGTTACATGTTACCATCGAGGTACAGGATGTAGTTTGGAAGATAAGTGATGTCCCAAGATGAAAACGGCCTTGAGATGGACAAAATTAGAATGACTTTAGGCATTGGGCCTAAAAATCATTAAATATCAGACTAATTAGTGGACTTAGATAACACAACGCTTAGTATGCACACACAAACCTATAAGGTTATCCAAAGGACAACGAGGAAGAGGAGAAGCCTTCACCAAAAGACCCCAAAAGAAGACTGGAGACCCCCTAACAATAAGTGAGGCAAGTGCCGTGAAGAAAAGTGACATAAAGTCAGAAAAATCGGAAACAGGAGGAAACTTACAGGAAACATTAATGAATATGTATAAGCATACAGTATGTAAGTTTAGCTTGAAGTGCTTTGTTTTGTATGTGAGGCAGGGTGGGAAGCCCTCCCCGTACCCCGTTCGGTTTTGCTTATGCTTTAATCATCCTTAATTACTGGCAAATTACATATATATAAATTGTATTCTTTTACTAAACTGTATTCTTTTTTACCAAATTACTATTCAATTCACTAAATTGTTTATTTTAAATTAAACTAATATTAAGTCAAGGGACCTAGTTATGAAAATTCTAATTTAATTTATAACATGCCGTTTGAAGGTCTGTAGAGTCACAGGATGGTTTGGGTGGGAAGGAAGCCTTAAAGACCATTTAGTCCCACCCCCTGCCATGGTTAGGGACACACCAAGTTACTCAGAGCCCCGTCCGACCTGGCTTTGAATGTTTTCAGGGATGGGACATCTCTGGGCACCCTCTGCCAGTGCCTCAGCACCCTTGTTGGGAAAAGATTTTTCTTTCTCTTTCATAAGAAAGCTCTCTTATATACTGAAATGTCACAAGTTCCCCCAGGAGCCTTCTCTGCTCCAGGCTGAGCAGCCCCAGCTCTCTCGGCCTTTCCTCATCCAAGTGCTCCTCTGAGCATCCCTTGGTCTGACCCGCTCCAGGAGATCCACGCCTTTAATTAGGCAGCAAAAACTCCTTGCACACATCTGTCGTTGTCCCCTGCCTTGCTGGATGAAATGAAACATTGTGGCAATGCCGAACATAGCAGGCAGGCTCCCAGCACGAAATGCAGGAAAGCAAAATAAAAACACGAACGTGGAAACTTGGTGTTGAAAGTCTGTATTCGGCCTCTGGATGGCATGATCTGAGGAAAAAGGCTCCGTGAATTTATTTAACGCCACAGTGCTTCTCAGAGGGCGTTGTTTTCAGGGCTGTAGAACTTGAGAAATAAACAGTGGAATTCCTACATGGAATGAGTACGTGCGGAATACATGGAAGAAGAACAAGGCAGGGGTTTTGTTGACAGATCCATAAAAATTGTGGAATGTTTTTTCCCTGCATTTGGCTCAGTAGGCGCGGCTCGGGGGGTCGCATTGTGCGGTTCCATGGTGTAATGGTTAGCACTCTGGACTCTGAATCCAGCGATCCGAGTTCAAATCTCGGTGGAACCTGAAAGTTTTTGCCGCAACCACATTTCTTTACTGCTCAGAACCATGGAGAATGGCTTAAAGCCGTTTTGCATGGCCTGTTCGAGTGCCCTAAACATCCCACGCCTCGTAAAAAACGCACCTAAAGTAGGAAAGTAACCAGAGGGTTTTCCTGATTCACCCCCCCAATCTATTATTTATTGCATCCAGGTTAGTACTTTCTGACAAATTATCTGAAGCATCTCAGACGTGTCACAGCATTATTGCTTCCCTTTCTGTGCTTTGAATCGCCTGTGTGGAAACACAGTTCTAAATTCTGCATCAGCAAAGCTGGCGGCAGCTGCTGAGCTCTGCAGGGATGAGGTTTTGGGGTGTCTCTGACAGCAGATGTTCATGTTTTCTGCCCTCAATATACCCGGGGTGACCTTATTGTGGCTTTCTAGTGGCCAAACGGGGAGCTGGAGAGGGACTCTGGACAAAGGACTGGGGTGGCAGGACAAGGGGGAATGGCTTCACTCTGCCGGAGGGAGGATTAGTGGGATATTGGGAAGGAATTCTTCCCTTTGAGGGTGGCGCGGTCCTGGCACCGGGTGCTTAGAGAAACTCGATGCTCCATCACTGACAACATTCAAGGTCAGGCTGGGATAGTGGAAGGCGTCCCTGCAACCCAAACCATTCCACGATTCTCCGAAGACACCGAACACCGCAGAAGCTCGGGACAAACACGGATATTTGGGTTAAATTGCCGTCGGTCACCCCGGCCGCAAGGGCAGGGCGGGCAGCGAGGTCCCCCGGCTCTGATTGCTGTGCATTAATTGTGGGGGCTGGCGGAGGCCAGAGGCACCGCCCGGTTCTATGGTGTAATGGTCAGCACTCTGGACTTTGAATCCAGCGATCCGAGTTCAAATCTCGGTAGAACCTGCCCCAGGTTTGCGTTTTTGTGCCCCCCAGCTCAGGGACAGACCGGACCGCGATGAAGATCCAGCTCAGCAACGCAGCCTGTCCTCAACCTTCATGTGCCACGCCCCTCCCAATTCCCTTCAATGCAATCAATTTAACCAAAGACTTTATATAATTCTTACTGCTTTTTAATTAGGGGTAATTCGTTGTAATTTTGTTGTGCTTCATTGTATTTTACTGCTGTTTTTTTTGGATAAACTCTGCACAATTTAAATCGATATTCCCTCTGCTTCGTTGACACAAACCTCCAGTAGTTATTTTTCATTTCCAGAGCAGCTAAGGACATCTTAATACCTTGGCTCCCCCTCCGCCAAACCTGTCCTACGAGTCA